GAAGCCGGAGATGCTTTCTATAGGAAATAATCACATCCCAAGTCACAGTGGTCTCTTAGGCACTGGAGAAATACAAAATTAAAGAGAAAAAAAGGGTTCCTGTCTTCAAGAAGTATATAACCTATAGAGGACACATTAGAATTCAGCCGAGTCTGTAACAGAGAAGTGCCAACCTCAGTAGCATGAATTGAGTCCCCCACCCCCTGTTCAAAACCAAGCAGAGGAGGAGGAGGGGGACTTGAGGCCCTGCCTCATGCGGGGAGCAGAGGAGGCTCTTGGGGAGGAAGAAGCCCCCAGAGCTGAGGCGGCACCAGGGGAGGGGCTCCACTAGAGCAACGGCTGGAAAAGGGGAAAGAGACTGACGGTTTCATGGTGAATTCAATGCAAAAAGTCAGGAAGAACTGCGAATTTGTCAAGCATCAGGCTTGGGACCTTGAGCAGATCAAAGTGCAGTGAACGAACGGAAACAAAGAAAGACGAGTCTGCACTACTCACTGTTTCTGAGTCTAATACCATCACCATTCCTAACGCAGACCTCACTCAGAAGCGAGATCTGAGCACTGACACCACCTTCTCCTCTAAACAGGGCTCTCTCTGTCCCAGACAGTTCCTGTCTCCCATTGTCTGCCAGACTCTTAGCAGCATTATTAATTAAGTCCACTCAATGAAAGTAAACAATTTTTTAAAATCTCTGTTGATAGATAACAAAGCAATCACTATATTTTATGTGAAATGAATTCTACTAGAAAGAGTTTTTTCACAAAGTTTTCAAAGACCCTATCATTAAATTATTTGCAATCTTACCTCTGTCCACAGTGAAGTCCATCGTCCTAAGGGGTCCTCTTGCCTCACAGACATGAGAAAAGTTGAGATGTCTGACAGTGACACTCTCTCCTGGGGACAGTTTGAAAAAATTAATCATTTAAAATTCTTAACTGTATAAGAAATCAGTGTAAAAGTAATCTAGCATACTATTTAAAGTAGAACACTATTAGTTAATTGAAAAGCTATTTTTTAAAAAGAAAATGTTATCCAACTTTTAAGGTGAAGATACTGATAACAAATGACCAACCATTATTGAAAATGAAAGATGAATGACTTTGTCAATCTGCTTCCCTTAAAATCAAGGTTACCATCTTAGAGACAAGATGGTCACAATCTAAAGGCAAAAACGAAAACATCCTGTAAGAAATTACTTATTCCTTAAATAAAAGTGAATTTGTGGGAAGGGATAAATTTGGGAGTTTAAGATTTGCAGGTATTAGCCACTATATGCAAAAATAATTAAAAAAATTTTTCTGTATAGCAGAAGGAACTATATTCAATATCCTGTAATTAACCTTTATAGAAAAGAGTATGAAAATGAATGTATGTCTGTATATGCATGACTGGGACACT